TGACTAATTAATTAGTTATGGGTTATTAGCTCAACATAATCCCCTCTTGGTAACATCAGTCAGTGTCATTGTGCAAGACAGAGCATATCAAATGAAGGAGGATGTAAGTTAGTTTACATTTTCTGCCGCAACAACACAATGCAGCACTGTCAACATCCAGCGTCTTTGCTTTGGCAGGATTTTTGGAGCAAATCAATGAAAGCTGGGTTTGGCTGCTTATCAATTTTGACCGGAGCAGATCTTGGCACAGGAGGATGTGCACTTCCCAGATTTAACTGAGGTTCACCTTCCAAAACATTCAGCACTTTGGATCAACAGAGCATCCCCTCGGCTCAACTCAACAGCATGTTTCCCCTCCCGCCAGATGTTCCACCTAATCAACATATACAGGCTTTGGGCGTTGAGGTGTCACCTCCCATACTCAGTTTATCCAGATGCTGCGGCTCTGCATACTTACCTCATATTAACATGAATAATATGAATTCGATTGGTGGTGTGTTTTCCTGAGTTGGAAATGTGACAGCAGAGAGAAAGGTTGATTGTCTATGTCACCAGTCTATGGTGCAGAGTGAGGTTTGTATTCATCCTCCCTGGTTTATCTACAATGAGGTTTATATTGGCAATGTTGTCCATAAAATGAAACTGAATTTGTTTTATTACTCGTCAAGCGTGTTGCTTGTATATATAAATTGAATCATTTACTGAATCTTGGGGCTCGCATTCGTGTCCCACCAGGCCTGTACTGATACAAGGGAAACCCTATGAGCGTCAACTTTCATGCATATTTCAATAAATCAAATTTAACTGTGTATGTGTGCAAATATGAAGATCTGTAAAATATATACATATACATATATTTGTATATACACCATGCAGTATGCTTAAAAAAGTATTAATCTAGACAACAGATGTTCAAGTGTGCTCCAAATGTCAAACATCAGACATAAACCAGTGGTAGTTGAACTGGATCCTTTGTCAGTGAGTTGACAAAGATGTATAGAGCTCCATAATCCTGACCGTGTTTATCTGCCTCAGCGCTTCTTGAAATTCTTCAGATGTCTAAGCGGAGGGACAGGATACTGGATAGTGATTGTGAATGTACGTGTACACAGGGAAGTCTGAGACGGCAGAGAAACCGAGGTGAGCCCTGTCTTCATCATAAATCACACAGTATGAGGACAACTGTGTAACTCAACACCTCGAGACCTGAGAGGCCTATAGAGGCCCTTAAAGAGACAGAGGGCGACAAACACAAAAGACAGACAAAAGACAAGGTTGTGTTTCCTTTTTTTTTCTCTGAAACACCGAGGGAAACCTCTTTTTTTTAAACAAAGTGACAATTTTGATGAATGAGTGACTTGGAGCATAACCCCTCTGCTTATTTCGTTCCCTTCTTTTTGCAAAGTTTTCCCCAGCTAACAAATATTTTGTTCCCAGGTAAAAGCCCGGAGTCACACTGTTAGAGGAGGAGGACCAAACCCAAACCTGGGGAGCCATTGGGGCCCCAGGGTGCTGGAATGGAGCAACTGATAGAGTAAGAGCGATTCAGTCTTCATTTGTCTCACTTGACAGTTAGCTTTACACGAGTTATTTAACGTGTTTTATTGTGTTTACTAAATGAACTTCCTGTCTCTATTTCGGGGCTTCCTGGAACTGTTGTTGCCCACGCTTCAGCTGCAGGCAATGCATTGGGACCGGAGAAGCTTTTGAGCCACATAAAGAGGCAGATTGTAGATTACTGTGTCTTGGATACTGTAAAATATGAGTTGTCCTTCTGCCCAGTAGTTTCAACAATACTGTGTATCCTAACACGAAGATGATGGCTTTTAAAAAGCCATTTGGAAGACAAACACTCTGATTTAACAGCACTGGCCTCAAGGATTCGATTTAAGTGTTTGCATGAGCCAAGTTGAAGACATTTAAAGGAGAGTGTGACGCTCATTCTAAGTGTCTGTCTGTGTTAAAACAACATTTTGACAGCAGCTAAAAACAAGCTGAGCCGCACCGTTCTTTATGGACAACTCTCTTGGCAGCTGAGGACGACTGTGTACAGTCATTGGTCTAAACAGATGCTCTGTGTTTCTCCGACTTGTCTCTCGCTGTTTTAGTGGGACATGTTGATGAGGTGCTCGGAGGTTTACGGCCCAACATGTCTGGGCATTTTGAGAGCCTGTTATTTTCTATTTGCAGCAAAACGGGACTCATCCTCATCCAGTATGCAAAAGGTTAGAGTTTGATGTGGTGACTGGAGTTTCCTGGGTGAGGTACACAGGCCCCCGTGAAGCAGGGAAGACACATGTATAATCATGAATGAACTTTGGTGGGAGTTGCACCCAATTATCTATAAACTCCACAGCACACAAACACAAACATCCTCTCACCCTGTTTCTCATTTTTAAGCAGCGAGTCAGCACAAAAGATGAGAAAAAGAGTGGAAATGATGCCACAGCGGAGCAATAACTTGGCCCCCTATCTAACCCCCCACTGCACATACAGTTCCTCCGCTCCTCCTTTGTGAATGAGACATTCTGACACAAGTCTATCTATCTGTGTTGTGCTCAGCTCTTATCACGTGTTGTTATTCGCCTCCAAAACCTGCTTCACTTCATCGTAGCTTCTTATTCAAATGTTTCCTTTCCCTTCTTTGTCAGTGCGGCTGTGGCTGAGCACAGTGTGATAACAGCCAGGGGAGTTTAATCTCCTCGGCTGTATTGCACGTCTCCTTCCCCTTCTTCTCAACACATTCTGCAGATAGCAGAAACAGGATTGGCACAGTGTCTCTGGGGTATGAGCACATATAGTGAGTTCTGGGTGAATCACACACTCCTTGTCATTTTATTAGACCCATCTCTCACAAATAGATGCAGCATGTATAATTCATACCTGTGACGTGCGTAGGAAGGGATGCGTGCCTACACGCTTTCCGTGCTTCTTGCTACAACCCAGCCTGTCAAATGAAGCCATTCATTTATGTCCATGCTGGCACCCTCCTCATGCCTCATATTGATTGTGACATATCAGTAATTGTTGACTCACCATCATTATCTGACACCCCGTGGCCCCCGAACCAACGTGACTAGCTTCCTCTTCATTACGAGGTTGCACCATCAACCTTCAGCCAGTGACAGAGAGGGGCTCCTCACTTGCGCAACTCTCCTCACTCCTCGCCGGCCTGTGACTCACTGGTGAGTCATGGCAACAGGGAAAGGGGTTATCAATGCACCCCCATGCAAGTGCACACACACATACACTGATGTTTGCCCTTCAGCACATCGATGTAGGCTACATACTGATGGAGTCACCGGTGCTGATTTTCATTTGAGCGTGTGTGTTTAGAAAGTTAAAAGTGGTGTGTGCATCTATGACGTCAAACGCCTGCCCCTTCCTTTCTCTTTTACTGCCTGAGCGCACACACGCACACACACACGCACACACGCACGCACACACGCACACACACGCACACACGCACGCACACACGCACACACACGCACACACGCACACACGCACACGCACACACACACTCACACATACACACACACACACACACACACACAGAAAACAATTAGTATTTTGCAAATCCAAAAAGAAAAACTAATAATTATTTGACACTTGGTGGATTCCAATTACGGTGGTGTTGACTCAGCTCTGATAAAATAAGGCTAAGCATAATTATGAGGGCAGCTCAGATTTTAGTGGTAAATTAGGTTGAGGTGTTCAGCCACTAGAGGGCGACAAAATCACTATTCTCTAATTTAAGTGAATATCATATTCTTCATGTGAATTGGATTCAACATCATGTTTCACTGTAGGAGTAGATATGATGCTTAATTTATACATAAACTTATATTTTAGCAAAACAACTGGGTGCAACAGTATTCCTGTACTAAATGGCATTCAGAAAAAAATATAGCAATGCCCCAAAACACAAGTATCATATATCCAATACCCAGTCAGTTTCAATTTCCCTTTTCAGTGTAGATGTAAAGTTAATCCTTTTCATGTTCTGGATGTATTGTGTCTTCTCATTTTCTTCAGAAATATATGTAAACTGTTTGCCTATAGATGATTAATGCTCCTTAAGGGACTATAAATGTGCACTCAATACATTACTTGGTTTCATGTGACAGATGGAGTTGCTGTGGCATCACAGTTGGGCTCATTCCTCACTTGATACTCATGGCAGTGAAAATTAAAATAAAAACTCCATGAGTCCAAACCAACACAAAGCCCATTATTACAGCCTAATCCAAGCTTTTAATGTGGCCTTGTCGGGCAACACAGAAGGAAGCTGTCCATAGAGCTGCAGTGTTTCCAAGCTTTTAATAGCTCATTACTTTTCCTCTTTGTCTCTGCTCACATCACTATCATTTGTCAGTAACAACTGTCCAGAGCAAAATTGACAAGTTCCACTTTCCTGGGATTGAATTACTTGTGCTGAGGTAAAGCCGGCTGCTGTCGGCTCAGGGGTTCATTTGTTCACACGACATATGAAGAAATTAGTGAAGAGAAATTTAGGTCTAAGCTATTACACCGATTGTGCAAGTAAACAGTTAAGAAGTTTACAACCGGAGAGGTGGAGGAGCGGTGTTTCTTTCTTAATCTTCCCTCTGACGAGCTAAATCTGGGGCAGTGAGCAGGTAAATACAGGAAGGCCCTGTAATTGGTCATTTGGTGCTGAGCTGTAACAGTGCAGGATTCATTGGTTCTCAAACAAATCGGTGTTAATACTTTTAGCCGTTACACTGCCTTAATTAATGTGGATCGATTTCGATTCATGGCTGCTCCAGCTCTCGTTGCCTCCTTTTGTAATTTAAACAACAACAACACAGCACATTTAGTGCTTTGTTAAAATACCTGCAACCTATCCATTCTGAGGGGACATTTTGAGAATCATTGCACCCCTAATGCTGAGCGTCTGGCTGCTTCCTACATTTGGGTTCAGATGAGAAAACCCAGGGAATGGCTGTGTATTTGTGTGCTCCTGCTTATTTGCATGTGTCTGTGTATGTTTGTGACTCGTGGAGGCTGTGTGAACAGGATGTCTAATGTGTCTACAGGCAGCCGAGGATTCCTGCACGCTGTCAAATCCTTCAGCAAACGCTCACATGTATGCATATCTACAAACATCTCGGATCCCTTTATTGTCTTTATACATCCCAGTTATCTCTTTCTAGTTACGTGTATGTACTATCAGATTGAGTTTTGTTAATAAAAAAAAAATTAAAAAAACTCCTCAAGTTGTTGCGGTGCTGCTGAGCGCTCAGTGTAGTTCAAATGAAAGTGAACTGCGGCATAATGAATCAAGCATGGAGGTCGGCTGGACATCAGTCATTAGCAAAAACAGAAACAGTGGCCGGCTTCCATTATAAGCAGTGTGTGTGTGTGTGTGTGTGTGTGTGTGT